AAACCGTATTAGATTACCGTGATTTGAACAACTCGTGATAAATAAATACTGTCCAGCATAAAGCACAGTTTTCAGTAACAGTCTCACGTGCGCACAGCAAGCAGAGTAGTTTCGTTTTGAGTGAAAACAGGGCGGAAAAGCTGGGAGGTTTTAAAAGGGTGCTAAGGGAATTATACAAATGAATATATGAATTAATTAATTATATGAATGACTGTCTTGACTGTCTTCAGAAACGATTCGATGGCATTTTGTTTTCATCTCCGCTCCATGTAATACCTCTTAATCGCATTAATCGCAATGCTGCTTTGTCAACGGAGGTTACGGGAAACAGCTCTAATTCAGCTTTTCCATAAGCGCCACCTGCTGTCAGAGAGTGGATTTACAGAGACTTATATTTACATTCAGTCTGTGTGCAGTTTCTGTCTGGCCAAAAACGGACCGAATTTGCATGCCCTGCTGTAAATTTTGACTGGTTGATGAAAAACAAGCTTATGTGGATTCTACACATTTAAACAATTCAGATAAGTTATCTAGAATTATTTATGGAGCAGATAAAATACATATAATCATTTATTAATCAATTAACATTTTGACTTATATATTTTCTTTGTTTAAAGGCTGAAATGTGAGGTTTACCTTTTTATTAAACTTTTTCAAAGCTTTATTTGAACATTTACATATATTTCAACATGCTATTAAACTGTTGTCAGTCAAGTTGTCATTTTTAAATCCAAACATCATTGGTAATGTTATCGTTTCAGTGATTATGCAAACAAAAAGTCATTTTATTTGTTGTTTGTTGATTTTTAAATATAAAACTTGATGAAGTGATTTATGTGTCGGTACTTTTTGAACATCTACTGATAGCCGTGATAATTTTGGTCCCTATAATCGTGATAAGAAATTTCCATACTGTTACATCCCTAATGTAGACCCTCAGTTAAAACCAGCTTATTAAAACTGCATGCATTACACAGAAATTGACTTTTAATATTTAGTTAGTTAGTTAGTTAGTTAATCTAGCATATCACAGGACATAGCTGAAACTGCTTGAAATCTTATGTTAACTAACTGATTAAATACATGGACCAATACTGTGAGTGGAGGAAATAAAAATGCAAAAAGATAACATAAAACAACATTTTAGTGATTCCAGGAGGAGCTTATTTTCATGATCTTCTGCTTTAAGAAAAAAAGTGTCTGAAACCTTAAACCATATTTCTTAATTTCTTGCTTACCGAAAGCTCCCACACCTCATGTTTGCCCCTCTGACCACCGCCAGATCTGGCAGGATTCTACTTGGTCAGCTAAGAGTTGAAAAATGCCAGCTCTGCATTTACAAACTGACTCCAGTAGAGATTTATTTTTCCTTCCCACTGGCTTTTTTTTCTCTTTCTGAGCATAGAGTTTAGCTCACAATTTGTCCAGCATTGTTCATCTGGCCACATTAATTACTCTTTATGTAACAAAGAGCAGTGTAGACATCAGACACCAAAACTCCCCCACAATCCTCTCAATTTCCTAACAAACATTTTTTCTTGAGAAAGACAGAAATTGACTTTCATTTGAAAAAAAAAAAGAATAGTGCTGAAGTGAAACGTAAGTTTATGAAAGCCTCTAAAGGCATCCGGTTAAATTGCACATAGTCCATTACTGTAAATGTGCTAAAAATATGTGGTTTCATGAATAGGTACCACAGTTGTTGTTTTTTTTTTCTTCAGTGAGTAAAATGAAATATATCCAGAGCTCAAATTTAGCAGATTTACGTCTCACTGATTTAAATTGAAGTTCACTCACTGCCTCTGTTTCCTAGAAATATTTGACTTCTCAATCAGGGAAGAAAAAAATGTCATCTTGGAAGTTTGCTGATAACCCCTGCATTACCATGTAATTGTAACGGCTCAAATAAATAGAATACTGTCACGTATAATTTTTATTTTTATTTTTGTTTTTGTTTTCAGCTGTGTTCATTACTCCTGTGACGCTATTGATTGCCAAGAGCCACTGATCCGGAATGCAGAGGTGCAGTGCAGCGACGGCGGCTACTTCAATGGAGCGCGCTGCACTGTCACGTGCAATAGCGGCTATGTCCTACAAATCCACCGGGACGATGACATCATCAAGAGCCAGGTACTTACCAATATGGGCAAACAAACGAGAAAGATGATGTTGGGTCTAAAGCTCTAAATTTGTTTGCCGAATGAGAACCACGTGCCAGTCGTATCGCAAAGCAAAGAGACCGTACACCAGTGCTATTGTAATATTGTTTATTCATGATCATTTTCCATTTTTGTTTTAATTTTATTCAGTTTAATTTTAGCTTGTCATTTTTTGCTTCGTTTTTTATATATTTTAATTATCTAATTTTGATTTAAGTTTTAGTTTCAGTCATTTTAGTACTTATTTTATTTAAATTAGTTGTCAAGGCAGTGTTTTTAATTTTCACTTAAGTTCCCCTTCTAGAGAACCCCACACTGTGCCCCCTAGGGGGCACATTGGGGAATGCAGTCTGCATGACCGGTGTCTGAAGCACGTGTGAAACCACGCCAATCTATTGGCCCACCTGGCCCATGACGTCATAGGCAGGATTCCCGGAAGTATAAAAGGGCACCTGCCGAGTACGTCATCCTCTTTGCTGTCTTCAGGAGCCGTCTGTTTGGAGTGCAGTGTGTTACCATGTCTGTCAACCCAGGTGAGCGTTTCAAGAAGTGCATGCGTTTTTGACACCTGAGGACACGCACGACTTGTGCATTATGTGCTTGGGGGAGGAGCACGTGCGTTCGGTGCTTGAGGGTGCCGAATGTAAACATTGTGAATAATTTCCAATGCGTAAGCTCCGATCACGTTTGTCCCTTTTTTCGGGGGGAAAGGGGCAAGCGTCTGCACCTCGCGGGTCGGGTCCCGCTGCTGCTGAGGCACGGCGGAAACTCAACTCGTGGGGATCGCAGGTTGAGCTCACGGAAGAGTTTGAGAAGGGCATGGATCTTTCAAAGACTTCTACCGCGGGCTCTAGCTCGCTGCGGGATCCAGACGCTCTGTCGTTGGAATCATCTGATCCTGATAGTGCGCTGCTGGGCTCTTCTAGTCGTAGTGACGAAAATGAAGAGGTTGATGTGGTTGGTTACGATGATGAGAGTGTGAGCACCGAGTCGTCATCAGCCATTCCCAGCCGCATGTCTTTCAATACGCAGATTATGCGAATGTTGAGGGTGTGGCTGAGTGCAGATATGCGAGGATGCCCCCTGTTGAGCAGATGTTTGCATCAACGACCACTGCTTGCATGAGGCCCTGACTTCGTTCTAATGATGTTTATATATCCGCTGTGAAGTTAATATTTTACTGATGGTCTGAAATCTCCCTCTTGTGAGTTTCTGGTCAATGACACAATGGCTGCTAGCCTAAAGTGGACTGACCTGGTTTAGGGGATCTATGTATCATGGCCATCTGAGGTTGGTCATATTCCAGCACTGTTGTGGCAGGATATGTTTACTGTAAACACAGCCATCTGAGGCTGGCTGAATTTTTATCTGCAATTTTAAAACACTTCCCAGACTATAGCTATCTGTGGATAGCTGTTTGGTAGCAGTGCTGTTTCCACCTTCTGGGTTTAACTATACAGCCACTGCTGGTGGTATTGCAGTGGTCCCCTTGCCTAGAGGAAAGATCGCTTTCTGAGGATAGCTGTCTGCAAGCTCGGCCCTACTTTAGTTTGAGTGGCGGTCTCTTGAAGAGCCTGTGCCCGGACAGTGCTGTCTCCCATCTTGGGGTTAAGCAGACAGCCCATTTCTATGGTCTGGTAGTTCGGTCGGTCCTGCTTCTGGTAGCTCCTTCCTGTGTGACATAGCTATCTGAGGATATCTATATGCTAGCTCAGTGATCGCTCCCCCTCCGAGGGTCTTTAAGTAGTGGTCTCCTGAGCCTTTGCCTATACAATGTTATCTCCCCTGTTAGGGTAGCAAGTAGATAGCCCACTCTTTGTGGTTTGGGCAGCTCTACAGGAGGGCTATCTAGGCTAGCCATGTCTTTCAATTTGGTAGCCTTTCCCAGTTACATAGTTATCTGAGGATATCTATGTGCTAGCTCAGTGACTGCTCCCCTTCTTAGGGTTTTTAAGTAGCGGTCTCCTTGAGCCCTTGCTTAGACAGTGCTATCTCCCCTGTTAGGGTAGTAAGTAGATAGCCCGCTGTTTGTGGTCTGAGCAGCTCTGCGGGGAAGCTACCTAGTGCTGTTGGGAACTGACACGGGTTTGGGACACCCTTGGTATATCCACCTGAGGGTAGTTATATTCCAGCCTTTGCTAGGGCAGGACGGGGCTTGTCAACTACAGCTACCTGAGGCTAGCTGCATTTTAATGCAGTTGCACTGAGCCCTCTCCTGGGGTGGTCCCCTTTTTCCTAGATTCGAGCTATCTGAGGATAGCAGTGTGCTAGCTCAATGATTGCTCCCCTGTTCAGGGTTTTAGTAGCGGTCTTTGAGCCCTTACATAGACAGTGTGGTCTCCCCTCTTTGGGTCGTAAGTAGACAGCCCACTCTTTGTGGTCTGGGTAGTTTTTCAGTCAGTTCCCCTTCTTATACCTTCCTAAGTACATAGATATTTGAGGATATCTGTGTGCTAGCTCAGTGACTGCTCCCATTTTTAGGGTCTTTAAGTAGCAGTCTCTTTGAGCCCTTGCCTAGACAGTGCTATCTCCCCTGCTAGGGAAGTAAGTAGATAGCCCACTCTCTGTGGTCTGGGCAGCTCTGTAGGAAGGCTGTCTAGGCTCTGACGCGGATTGGGGACCTCCTTAGTTGCATGATTAATCGAATGCGATTGTCATGTGCATTTTGTCAAAAAAAGCTGGTTCTGTAATCAGCAGGAAATCATCATCATGTGCTTTCAGATGGAGCAGAATTTACTACACATAGCCATAGTTCACTGACAAGTTACGCAAAAAAATCGCAGACGATTTTATTGCACGATTATGAAATCGAAGAAATCATTCGCGATAACTTTGGTTTAAGAAGCGGTCTTTTACTTTACTTTAGCATGAAAACCATCCATCGTTTCACTTCATAACGTCAGTCGAGTGTTTGAAATAAATCCTTCTGTGAGATGATGTGGCTTCTTACACAGAATAATGCAACATACATATTTCATAGTATTTAAACAGTGATAAAGGCATTGCATTATAAATATACTTTATTTTAATGAAAATTATAATAAGAAGAACTCAGATAAACCGTATATTGCCATAGTCATGTGTTTATTAGTCACGTTGAATCAATGAAAGCAGTTGCATCTTCTGTTTATTCAGCTGCAGCGATAGGCATTTTCTGCCACAATCGCAGCTTCTGTCGAATTGCGATCTCGATTCCATTTCGATTTATCGTGCAGCCCTAGGAGTGAGGGTGATGACTTGTGCTCTGAAACGGAGTGGAGAGCACTTTTGGCACATAGCCGTGTCTCAGTTTGAGGACGACTCCCAAACTCAAGACTTGAAGCAATGACTGACAGTGATTGCAGGTCACCCATTCGCTTGACTGATGCTAAAACCAGAAGGTGGACGGTTGTAGCAAATTAGCTCAAAAGGGAAATGGATATAAATAATTACAATTAATTATAATTATTTACCTCAGCTGCCAGTAGTAACTGTAGCAGAATTAATATTACAATCAACTAATCTGTTCGTTCAGTATAATTTCATATCAACTCTAAGAAAGGATATTTTCGGGACCACAGAAAATAACTTTCTTACAGTAACGCATTAGAGCATGTGGCTATAGATTGGATCGTAAAGGGAAACTATATACAAGCGATGACAGAACCAGAAACTCATGTAATTTGTGCACAAAAGTTTTATTAACTAAACGCTAACACACATAACTAATCTAAACAAACAAACATACAATCACTCATACATGGGGAAAGGGCAAATGAGACTTGATGGATGAAACCATCAGGAGAACCAGAGAGTGAAGCTATGAAAAGAGTCAGTTAACCACCTGAGTAAAACCATCAGCGCCATTTTATAACGGGGTCTACAGCTTATCCTAAACCTCTGTTTCGTTTAGTTAAATGTACAATACTTGTATTGCCTTGGCCTTGAACAAGCGTCTGGATGCAGTCTCAGATGAAAGTCTTGATGGTATGGAGGTTCGGTGGTGTAGGAGTCGCGATCACGTTCTTCCGGGTTTGAAGAGTGATGAAATCCAAAAAGATGTTATTCTGACTCTGTCGTGGTCGGGAGAGTTTTCTCCCAGATGAAGGTGATGAAGAGCTAAGAGAGACATCGGCTGAGATCCAAGGATCGTTGGTGAATGTAAAGACAAGGCCGAAGCCTGGTGCAGACTTAAGGGTTGCAGAAGCGTTCTAGCTCTGTTTTGCATATGAAACTCGATTGGGTGTTCAAGAGAAGAATCTTCAAGATTCTTATAATACTAATGTGTTGCATAGGTATCAACATATAACATACACTGTCATTTAGATCATGAAAATACGAACTCATAGATACCAATCATGGTATAGGTGAGGCTATATTAACTAGTGACATATCATAACGCATGCATAAAACAGTATACAATACAAAAT